TCACTGAGCATCCTTATAACCAGTGTTTTGAATTCTGCATCTAGTAGATTGCTTGTCTCCTTATATTTAGTTCCTTTTCCAGAGTTTTGTTTTGTTTTTTCATTTGTGCCATGTTTCTTTGTCTCTTCATTTAGCAGCCTCCCTGTGTTAGTTTCTATGTATTAGGTAGAGCTGCTTTGTCTCCTGGGCTTGGTAGAGTGGCCTAGTATAGTAGGTGTCCTGTAAGATCTAGTGGCACATCCTCCTCTATTACTGAAGCTGGGTAATTGAGGTGCATTCACTGTGTGGGCTGTGTACATGCTCCTGTTGTAGTTGAACCTTAGTTGCGGTTGGCACATCCAAGGTCATCCAGTGCCTGTCTTCTGTTTGGGGTCACACTGTGTAAACTACAAAGTGATCTGTCGATGGCTGCTCCTTGTGCTGGTTTGCAGGTGCCCAGATGAGGCCAAGCTGTGAACTAAGGCTGGCTGCTGCTAGTGCCAGGCCTGGGACTATTTAGTGAGCTCACTGAAGCCAGATATGGCTTGTTTGAGATAATTTAGGAAAATCTGAAACATGAGCCAAGACAAGTCATTCATATAGAAAAGCCACTTGAAACAGTTTGGGTGGGCTCCAATGTTGTGTGTGGCAGGACCTTAGGGAATCACTAGGGTGGGGCAAAAAGTGTGATCCAGGTTGGTGGAGTCTCAGCTATGGCACCAATCTGCTGGCTCTGTGGCTTTGTGAGGGGAGGGCTTAGAAAAGGAACAGTGGCCTCTGCCAGCACTCCTGTCTGGGAAAAAGCTTCTTTCCAGCTCTTGCCCTAATGCCAGACACTTCAGTTCCTTCCTGCATGTCTGTGATGCATTTTAATCTGCTTTCCTGGTGCTGAAGCTCAGAGGGTTGAGTTTGCATAGGTCTGTGTGCAGGCCCTTTAAGAGAAACTGCCTGGGATTCCAGCAGTTTCTGTTTTCTACAGCCTCAATTGCCCTTGGTTATTACAGCCAGGATTTATAGAGACTTATCTTCCTGGCTCTTGAACACTGGGCTGGGGGGCCTGGTGTGGGGCTCCTGAGATATCCCTCCTGTTTTTTATCTACCGTACATGGGTGTGGCCTCCAGCTTATTCTGCATCTCTGACACCAGTTTATTCTGAAGTCATGATGTGGTTTCTTCTTTAATTCTGTAGTTGTACAACTTCCATTCAGCTTGATTTCTGACTGTTCTGAATGTTGGTTGTTCTATAGTTTAGTTGTAATTTTGATGTGGTTGTGTGAGGAAGCGAACTGTGTTTACCTGTGCTGCCATCTTGACTGGAAATCTCTTTTGTGATTCAAAACAACAGAAATGAAGCCCTGGCTGGCGTAGCTCAGTGGATTGAGCACGGGCTGCGAACCAAAATGTCGCAGGTTCGATTCCCAGTCAGGGTACATGCCTGGGTTGCAGGCCATGACCCCCAGCAACCGCACATTGATGTTTCTCTCTCCTCTCTTTCTCCTTCCCTTCCCTCTCTAAAAATAAATAAATAAATAAAATCTTAAAAACAACAACAAAAAAACAGAAATGTATTGTTTCTTTCCAAAAGCGTGATATTACATTCCAGTATTCTTTTCAGATTTATTAGTTGCCATTTACCCACAAACTTTCTTTTTTCCCTCAGTTTTTCATCTGTTCATTTATTTATATCACTATAGATACTTGTGTTCTTATTTTACTTAGAGGCTTATAATCTGTCACTCTTTACTTTCATTCTCAACTTGTCCCAGATATGACCAGTGGTGTGGCCCCTTCAAGCTAATTCCTGTATTCTTTTATTTCCTCATCATGCTTTGAGAACTTCTTTCTGGCACAATGGCTGTTCCTAGCTTGTCTTATATTTTCTTTGCCCTGGTCCTAGCATCAGCCAGTTCTCCAAGAGCCTCCCCCAAATTGATGAAAATCAATTCATTCTTTCAACAAATATTTGAGTGACTACTATGTTCTAGGGACTATTCTAACTTCTTACAAAGCTGTGTCCTCAAGTGTCAATTATATGTTACTCTTTGAAAATGAGTCATGGCAATTTTATTTTACCTGTCACATGACTGAGAATCCACAATTGTAGTTATAGACTTTTTATGTATATAATTAATTAGCCTTTTTATATTTGCCACTGATAAATGTAGAAATTTCCTTTAATTTGTCTAAAAACCACCAAAAACCTATCCTGTGTTTGCAGTATTGTTATAGCCATGTATGTACTACATGAGAATTCCTATGTAATGATTATCTGTAGGTAACCTGGGTCCAGTTCATACACGCTAGAAATATTGGTGCTGAGCATCACGTGGATATATCTCAGAGTTTGAAGTTATTGTTGAGTGTTTTCTGGGAACGCATTACTGCTTAAGGAAACAGTAATGGGCTGCATACATGTGGAGTTGTCAGTCTAGTTCTTCACGAACGGTTAGAGACACTTTGCTCTGGAAGGGTTGAAATTTTTCAACATGGTTTGTGCTTTTCTGGTTTGTGCTTTTCTGTTTATCTTCTACTCCCTTGTGGTCGACGTCGGTGCGTCGTGAACCCCGGGTGAGTGTCCGAGCGGCGGAGCTCGCGCAAAATCAGGACGCAGGGGATGCAAATGCGGGTGATCAAGAGCAAATGCATGCTCAGGCTTTATTAGCAGTGGTATTTGTAAAAATATATTTGGCAAGTATTCCTAAGTATATTGAATTTTAGCACAGCTGCACCTATTCAAAACAGCTCCTAACAAGTTTACATATTTGTAGAGTACCCTTATATCTTTGTTCTTTTCCCAAGACTCATTTTCCCAAAACTCAACTCCTGGTGTGAGATAATGGCTCTTATCCTACTAGCCCGGGGGAGTAATACAAGCCAGGAGTCCGGTCTCAGAAAGCCTTCTTTCTGACGCTGTCTGGTTTGCCAGGGCTGGCACAGACTTCCAGCTGCTTGCCTTTACTCAACCCGAGCCTCAGGAGTCCGCACATTATCCCCACACTCCCCTTCACAAAGACCCAATCTGAACTTTATGTCATTTGTGTTTGTATATTTATTGCAAAGTACAATAAAATTCAAAATGACATAAATCTTATAATTGATTTACATGTTAATTATTAAACTGAAATTTTTATGAAGTAAGAAAATTGTGCTTTTAAGGGCATAGATTGCCTTTTGGTGTTAATAAAAAACCTTTAGAAAACTCTTAGGCAATTTATAATAAAGTTAAATATAAACCTATTCTAGGACTTAGCAATTCTACTGCTAGATATATACACCCAAGAGAAATGAGTGTATGTCCACTAAACACTTATTTAAATGTTTAAGGTGGCTTTATACTTAGTAGCCCTAACCTGGGAACAACCCAAATGTCTGGCCAGCAGCAGAATTCATTGGACTATTCATTCATCAGAATATTGAGTGCTGCAAAAAGTTTGAAATACTAATATAGTCAATAAAATCATTATGTTGAATAAAATTAGCAAGACAAAATGATACATATTCAGATTTGAAGAACAGACAAAACTAATCTGTGATGACAGAAGTCAGAGTGGGTAACTTGGGGAGGTAGGTCTTGACTGGAAAATGGTATGAGGAACTTTCTGGATGATGGAAATACTCATCCTGACCTTAGTGGAGGTCACATGAGTGTTTACATGTGTAGTAATTCATGGGGAGGTATGCTTAGGGTTTATGCATGTTATTTACCCCTTGGTCAAATACTGAATGACAGAAAGAAAAGAAAATTCCTTCATGCTTGACTTTCTCTGCTGTGAGTGTAAGGATTAAATTAGGAATTTGGGCTAATTTGATTTATTATTCTAACTTTTCTTTGCTGTTTTTCTTATTCATATTTTTTCTTTCCCGCCTCTTCCATTGTCCTTCACTGCCTATAGTTTCTCTTCTTAACATTGGTTTAGTTCCTGTTTCTTTAAACTATTCAGTGGTTTCACACAAATTCTTTAGAAATGAGACCCAATGAGCAGGTTCTTGAATCTTGGTGTCCATGGCCTGGCTGCAAATCCTGAATTTGTATTAGGCACCTACCCCTTTGCTGGTGCTCTGTGTCAGCCCCTAATTTGCTGTGGCAGGAAGTGGATCTAGTTTTATATGTGATGGAGTTTTAAATGTATGGTGTAACAGGTGGAATTTGAATTAAGTGGTATAGAATTTACATTAAAAATAAATTTTACTTTCTGTGAAAGATTTAGATTTATTTTTGTGATTTTTATATGGAATATATGTATGTATATTTTATTAAACAACCTCTTTTGATTACTTAATAACTTGATATATAATTTTATATTGTTTATTTATTATGGAATTATTCAAACTTGTACTAAAGAAGAGAGAATAAAAGAGCAAATGTCTCTGTACCCGTCACCACCTTAAGCAGTTATCCACACATGATAGCAAGCCTTGTTTCTCATATGTCTTTCCTCTGAGTTATTTTGAAACTAATCTCAGATATATTACTTTATCCATAAGTACTTCAGGGTGTATCTGTAAAGATTATCTACAGAAAACATTACTTGTATTACTTTGTCCTGTTGTTGGTCATAGAAAAAATTTGAAATTTATTTTCATTAGATAAATCCAATAATTACTGATGACCCTTGTATTTCTTGCTAATTTTAGTTGCTTGATTACCAAAATATAAATAAAAATATTCATAGATGATGTTTTTAATGATTAGATAATTGTAAGCTTCCTGAGGTAAGTAAATGAAGTTCAATACTTTTTTATAATGTTCAAATTAAGCAACCTGTGAGACTTGTGTTTCCTTTGTTTTGAAATATTATCACTATAAAGTTGAATGCTTGGTCATTAATGTGCAGAAAATGTTGCAAAATCTCCAAATAGATTTCATTAGAAATGATTTTCCTGTTTATGTAGTTTTTTATGCATTCCTTAGAAAATCATACCTTCTTCCATGATAATTATACACATAGGTACTATAGATGTAGCTTGCATGATTTATTATGGAAATATTTTACAATATGCCTTTGATGTTTCTTAAACAGGTAGTATTACTCCCACTGTGGAACTGAATGGGCTTGCCATGAAGAGGGGAGAGCCTGCCATCTACAGGCCCCTAGATCCAAAGCCTTTCCCAAATTATAGAGCTAATTACAACTTCCGGGGCATGTACAATCAGAGGTTTGTATGTTGTTTTGGTTTTGTTCTTATTATTTTTTGCATATTTTAAATATTTCTGAAACTCAAAGAGTATTTTCATTGTAAAGAATATTGACTTTGGGCATTTTGGATGGAAGTTAGACAAATCAGATTCACAAGGAATATTTAAAGTAATGACTTAAAAAAATTCACTGGTTTTCAAGAACTAGTTTTTATTGAGTCACGAGACCCCTGTATTTGTTGCAGGCAGGGCCATGTTTTAAGGTCATTCCACAGTCTAGTACTAACTGCCAAGCTGACGTGCTAATTTATTCACCAAGCAGGTGCTTAGCTTAATTAGTGTTTTTCTTAATTTGTCTGAATACATTGCAAACATGAGTGTTTATAATTTTTTAAAATTTTTATTGGGAGAAAACATGAAACTATAGGACTTTTCAATGAGATGCATTACTATGAAGCAGGAATAAAAAAGCCTATTAAATTTTCTTCTGTAAAAGTTTTTGTAATTTATAAAAAATTTGTTGAAAAGATTTACTAAGTCTTTCTGCACATTACATAATTTTGTGGTATTACTAGTATAACAGAATTTTCTTTTACAAGTTTGGCAGAATTTTTTTAAAAGTTTATTATTTTTTTCTGGACATTTATAAAAGTAACTCATTATAGACAATGTGGAAAATGCAGAAAGTTAAAAAGAAATTATAAATTACTTGCAGTCTTAGAATTACCACCTTTAACATTTTGGTGTACTTTATATTATTTTTATATGTTGCATATATATATATGTTTAACCAAATTGAAGTTATCCATTATATGCAATTTCTATAGTACTTCATGGAGGTATATCATATATGAATGATAAAGTACACAAATCTTAAATGTACATCTTGATGACTTTATTTGATTATGTATATATGTATATATAGTTTATTTGATGACTTTTTACATATGTGTATCCTCATTTGTCATCTTCCAGTCAAGAATGTTTCTATTTATCCTGGCAGTTTCCTCTTCCCTCCTCTCAGAAGTACCATATTTTTCATACCATAAGACACACCTAGGTTGTAGAGGAGGAAAATAGGGAAAAAAAATTTGAAGCAAAAAATGTAGTAAAATATTTAATAACATAACATAATATTTCACCAATATAAATGTAAACAGAACTCAACAGCAGCATTAACAACCATTATTCTTCCCAAATTTACATGGTGGGGAGTGTGTCTTATAGTCCAAAAAATACTCTTCTGTCACCATAGATTAGTTTTACCCTTCATGAACTTCCTATAAATAGACTCATACAATATTTACTCTTACTCGGCTTTTTTTTGCTTCATATAATGGTCATCTTGTTTTGTTTGTTTGCTTTTGTTTTTAGAGATTCATCCATGTTGCTCATATCTGGGTTTTGCCCTTGTTTAGTGCCAAATAATGTTCCTTTGTATGACTATATCATAACTTGTTCATCTTGTATATTTAATGTTGCCTTCTTTTTACTTAATATAGTGATCACTTTTCACATCTTTAAGTAATCTTTGAAAATATTTTTGATGGGTGTTAGTGCTTCATATGGCCCAGGTATACTTTACAAGTATATAAACAGGTAAAAACAAGGAATACTTTACAAGTATACAAACAAAATATACCTTTTTTGGTCATCTAGGTTTTCTCTCCTTTTTGGGACAATTTTAAATAAAGCTGCAGTAAACAGTCTTTATATACAAATTTTTGTTTACATTACTGATTATTTCTTTTTTTAAAGATACATTTTTAAAATATTGTGCTATTTTTATTTTAATTTTTTTTTTAGATTTATTTATTTATTTTTAGAAAGGGAAGGGAGGGAGAAAGAGAGAGAGAGAGAGAGAGAAACATCAGTGTGCGGTTGCTGGGGGCTGTGGCCTGCAACCTGCAACCCAGGCATGTGCCCTGACTGGGAATTGAACCTCCGACACTTTGGTTTGTAGCCCGCGTTCAATCCACTGAGCTACACCAGCCAGGGCTATTTCTTTAAGATAGATTACTCCAAGGAGGGATATTGGATTAAAAAGAATAACTTTTGCCCAATTACATTAAAGTTTGTGCCAGCTTCTCACAGTATATTCCATTGCATTCTGACAACACAAATTGGGTTTGAACACATTGCCTTGCTTGATAGTTAAAAGTGGAATGATTTTAGATTTTGGTTTTATTGATTACTTGAGAGGCTGAACAGTTTTTCAAATATTTATTATCCTTTTTGATTTGTCTATTTTAGTTTGCTAATTTTAATTGCATTGCTTGACCAATCTTCAAATGTTTAGGTGTTGAAGGTATTACATTAAATTTTTATTTAAATTTCCTGCTTAAAAACATTGGCTAGTTTTGTGGGTTTTTTTAATGTACTCTAGTTTTAAATGTTATATGGTTTAGTCTGTTATTTTTTTTGTCATTTTATCCATTGCTTTCATGTCTAAGAAATTCTCACATGAGCAGATATTTGTGGATGCTTTAAAAAATTTATTGAGATATAATTGATGGGTAACATTGTGTAAGTTTAAGGTGTTTGACGTTGATTTGATACATTTATATTGCAATATGATTGCCATTGTAGTGTTAGATGGTACCTCTATCATGTCACATAATTATCATTTCTTCTAGGGGTGGGGTGCTGATACTTTTAAAATCATTTCATATCTTTATTGATATTATAACTCAGATATGAGAAGATGATAATTCTTTAGTCTATATATAATCTGATGCTTTTGGTATCTTGCTTGGTAATGAAAAAAATTACCATTTAAAACTTTGTCCTATTCAAATTGTTAAGTAACTTCCTTTAAATATTATTGTTCAGGTTCTCTGAGAAAAAAAAAAGCACAGTCTCTTAGACTCATGCCCCTCCCCGTTTCCTTCCAGGTGTGTTTGGGGAATTCAGTGTAGTAAATTTACTGTCCAGGTAGGAAGGGAGGATTCCTCACCTCTGTGTAGGTGTACTGTACTGTGCTCTGGCTCCTCTGGTCTTTGTGGTGATGATGTCCTTTGTCCACCAGCTAGCTGACATCTCTGTCGCCTGCCCTGCTGAAACCTGTAGTTGGTGATTATGGTCCATTGTTTCCTCATAAGTGATCTTCAACAGTATCTACCCTCTTTCCTGGCTACCTTGGCCCTTAGCTCTCCTCAGCTCCCCGAGACGCTATTCCATCTTTTCAGTGTCCTTTTCCCACTGCAGAGCCTCCTGTGGCTTGTGAGCTCTCAAGTTGGTGTCTACACCACATAGGAGGCAAGGGGGACATAACATTTGTCTTATAGTTGTTTCCCATTCATTTTTTCTATATAGCATACCCATTACCTTTCTTGTCAGTCTGAGTGTATCCACTATAAATAAAACTGTTTGCTTGGCTGGTGTAGCTCAGTGGATTGAGCACGGGCTGCGAACCAAAGTGTCGCAGGTTCAATTCCCAGTCAGGGCACATGCCTGGGTTGCAGGCCACGGCCCCCAGCAACCGCACATTGATGTTTCTCTCTCTCTCTCTTTCTCCTTCCCTTCCCTCTCTAAAAATAAATAAATAAAATCTTAAAAAACATTATGAGATTTTCACAGTAAATTCACAGTTTTGTGTTAGGCCACATTCATGGACATCCTGAGCTGCAGGTGGCCTGTGGGCCACAGGTTGGACACCCCTGATCTAGAGTTTCCAGAATAGACATGTGTAATCTGTCTTGTAGAAAATGGAATTGTTTAGGCTCCAACCTAAGTTTGAGTGACCTATCTGATCCTTGTTCATTTAGGATTTATACTTCCTTCCCAAAAGGGTTTGGCTCTGTTGGATTGTCATCATTCATTTTGTAACAATTTCATGGCTTGCACCATGACAAGTACCCCTGTCCTCAGTAGTTGATATATTTCCTGTCAAGACAGTATTTGGTTACCTTGTCTAGTGTATCTAATTCCTATGCCAATCACCTGTACTTAGGTTAGTAAAGTTGCTTTCTCTTAATATGTGTGGTATGAGTCATAGTAAGTTAAACACGGAAAGAGTTTGTATTATTTTGCCCAAAAGTTACTTGTTCCTATGGGCAGAACCAGGTACCTACTTGAAGCTTTATGTTCCCCTCTCTCATTGCCCTGGGGAATTAACCTGTGAGACTTGGAAAGAACTTCATAGAGTGGAAATCTGATAGGGTAAAACAAGTATTTTGGAGTGTCTGAACAGATTTTATGTCATTGTTACTTATTAGTAAAATGGAAATAATTAAGATTTTAGTTTATGAAATAGCTTGTTTACTATTATTTCAAAGTATATGACTAACTGCTTATTATTCTTAGGTGTGCTGTTTATTTTAAGCTTGTTCAAACCATCAATCTAAGTATTCTTCACTAGTGTGTAGTGCCCCTTTAAAAGGCATGTTAGAAAGAAAGAACAACTGAGAAACTGAATATATTTGTGCTAGTAGTGGCATAAACAGGTATAAACCTACCGTTTTGCTTTCTGCCACCAGATGGAGCTTATATACTGATAAAACAACACACATTCTGGGTGTTTTCACTTTATTTAATACTCCAAGGCTGGTGGTTAAATGATAAAAGAGAGTTTAAATCATATGAAATCACCAGTATTTGAATTTTTAACTTTTAAATATGTCAGCTTCATATGGTTCAAAAAAATAGGAAAAAGTCAGCTGGGTACACAACTTGAAAGCCTCTTGGATAAATGAAATAAATGTGAAGTGGTGAAAATAGGAATTCATTCTAATAGTTACATATAATTTTGCCTTTTGTGTGCTACATCCCTTGGTTTGGAGAACATATATATGTTTATCATATGCTTTATACTGGAATGTATGTCATAACTTTTCAAAATTATATTTCATAAATGCTATTTCTGTTTTCTTTTTTATAATTTAATCTGTTTGTTTATTTGATTTAATTTTTATTTTGTTTTTTTTTCCATTACCATTTGGTCTGCTTATACACCCTTACCACCAGCAATCACAACACTGTTGTCCATGTCTCTGACCCCTTTTTCCTTTTTGCTCAATTC